CAATTTTTCTTTGTACATGATTTTTTTAAAATTCAGTGTTTCAGAATTATACCCCAGTTGCTACTTTTCTATGTTTAGTTTAACTGGTTTCTGGTGAATTTTTACTGTTTTCCGGTGAATATATTTGGAACACAAAGTGGATAAAATCCACACATCATTAAGTTGCTAATAAAAGCCACTGTATCAGTACCTATATATATGCATGGAACAGTTGGTTTATGGTACTTTCATTGTGTAATCACTCTGAGAACAGGATAATCTAATACTGTATCTCTTACGTGATGATGTATGCATGCAATGGAAATAGGCCAGTAGTACGATCCTACCTTAGTCGCTACTGGTATGGAGGATGATTGTGCGTGCGCCCCCTAATGCATGCCCACTAACAAGCCAATCAGCTGAGAGGATGAAGAAATGAAAAGCTAGGAGTGACCGTCCCACCCTCCCATGCACATTTTGGTCTTTTATCCTCTCAGCTGATTGCTGGAAGCTTTTTTCTTCCTCTCAGCTGATTGGAGGCTTTTTTTTACTACCGGTTTGGCTGAACCAGTCCAAACCGGTAGCATACCACCACCAAAATAGTCTCCGAAGTAAAAATCTCAACTGATACAGATAGTCCGTGATCACAATTGATCAAAATTTCTGTTAAGTGAGACTGTTGTTAAGTGAATGTTGCCCCATGTTATGACCTTACTTGTCACAGTTGTTAAGTGAATCACTGCAATTGTTAAGTTAGTAACATGGTTGTTAAATGGCTTCCCCATTGACTTTGCTTGGCAGAAGGACACAAAAGGCGATCACATGACTCCGGTTCAATGCAACTGTCATAAATATGAATCAGTTGCCAAGTATCTGAATTTTGATCATGTGTTCATGAGAATGCTACAACGGTCATATAGGTGTGAAAACAGTCATAAGTCATTTTTTTTCAGTGCCATTGTAACGCCAGTCACTAAATGGACTGTTGTAAGTCAAGGATTACCTTTGATCAAACACATTGGTACAATATGGGCAGATGGCTGGACTCAAAAATTAATTGAACCAAACTGATTGAGACATATATGAATGAGCAAAGATAGTGGAAAGTGTTTTATCAGTGCAATTCATTGTAAAGAATTCATGTGGTTAACCCCCCAAAAGTGATAAAGATGTGTAAAAATCACTATTGAGAAATTTTCTATATTCCTAAAGCTTTTTAATAAAAAGTGGAGAAAATTAATTTGTCAATGGTAACATTGGTTCAGTTAAAATTACCAAAAAGTACAATTCTTTATATATGGGTCAGAAGTAAATCCCAGAATTCTGTGGGTAGTACTGTAGGTAATTAGATATAATATGCAGCTATAAAGACAACGGAGGAAGAAGTACTTTTATTCTTTTTCTCCATTCACTATTTCCTGTCATTCTGTGATTACTAGGCCTGAAATAGGATGAACAGTCTATCCACTGGCACCTTAAACAGAGCACTTTTTCTATACTTTGGGAATTGTGTCCTATGGAATGATTAATTTTTGGATTCACCATTAAGGATGAATCCAATAAGGGGAGAATAGGGTCCTTCCAAAGTCAGTGACTTCATGATTCTGAAAATGCTTTGTCTTTTGACTTCTCTGCAGTCAGAGCTTGATTAATGCCATTAATGCATTCAAGGTCAGATCTTTCCTTCGTCCCAAGACAGAATGCATTTATACTATTGAGTTAATATAATGCAGCTCAAAATCAATAAAATCACAGGTGGAGAAAAGATGCTTTTCAATTCTTGTCCATAAGAATTTTTGGAATGTCCTTTCTCAAAAGTTCATTATTGCTTCCTTTCTCCTCTTGAAGACCTTCTTGTCTCTGTGTTTCTGTTTCTGTATTTCTGTTGAATTGTTTTATCTGCTGCTTTATCTAGTAACTATTATCATGTTTTATAAATGCTTGAGCTTTTAATTTTGCTTGTGAATTCATCTTGATTGATCCAAAGTTTGAAATCCTGTCATTTTGGAACAGCATTAAGATCACAGAATATATCAAATTATTTCTTCTGGGATCAGTAACAGGGCTCAGACTTCTAAAAAGTTGTATTTTTCTGCCATTTGTTCCTTCCTCATCAAACTCCAGCTGATTCTTTATAAATTGAGGGTATTATAAATGTTGGAAGTTATCAGAAAAGGATAAAATGAGGTTGGGCAGGAAGCAAGGAAGAAGCAGCAGCAGCATTGAATTCAAATGACAGAAAGCATTCCAGTTCTCTCTGCCATCTTTATGAACTACGAGCAACAAAGCAGTTTCTAGAAATCATGTTAATATAATGTATTAAAAATAAGGAATTACTGCAAGAAATTATATGATGTAACTTCAATTAGAAGTCTTCAAAATTATATGATTCCAACTTCCACTAGAAGGGTTCAAAAATTATCAAGGGGAAACCTGTGTTTAGGTACATGAAAATATTATATCAGAAATGAATAATGAATTGTTTAAATTTGCTTAGATTAAATCATACATTCAAAAAACAGAATATAGTCATCAACTCTGAAAATCAATTACATTGAAATGAAGCAATAACAAATTCTACTCTAAAGTTCATTATAAAGGAGTAAGTTAAAGTAACTGTATATGGTAGATTAAAAGGAAGACATTTTTAAAAATCCATTAATTTTGACATTTAGATGGAGATACAGTAATACTTTTTATATGAAACAATTTTATGAAAAAAGTACATTAATGGCCTATAATACACCAGTTTTGTTGGAAATGTCACAGAATCACAGGGAATTTCCTTGACAAGCATGACATTGGGAATAGGAGGATTAATACCATGAAACCTATTAGTATATGATTAACTCTTAGTTCATTAAATAGGAGGCACTGTCAAAGTTTTGTGAAATAATTTACAGAAATAATCATAATTGGGCTTATCTTGAAAACATTAAGCAGGTCTGGATAAAGATGAATATTCCAGTGGGTGAGCATCAGCAAGAAATCCAACGCTGTGTAATGGTATGTGGGAATGACTTGGAAAACGGGACAGCATCAGACTGCACAACTACAGGTAGTCCTCAACTTACAACAGTTCACTTAGTGACCATTCTAAGTCACAACAGCACTGAAAAAAGTGACTTGTGGCCATTTTTCACACATTTGAGCATTGCAACATTCCCATGGTCATGTGATTTACATTGGGATGCCTGACAACCGAATCACATTTATGACGGCAGATTGGATTTAGGAATAATAATCTCACAATTGCTTTTTAAAGGATATTTATACAATGCCATTTGTCTATCTGTTGCAAAACAATGAGCCATGCATAAATGACATATCCAAAACATACGTTAGTTTAGAGAAGCCATATATTTTTATAAAAAGTGCACTGCTCACTATTCCTTAATTTGAATATTGGCAGTAATCATTATATTGACTAATAAATTCTTTAAATCAATTCATCTTTGTGATTCTGTACAAAGTGAGACAATAACCTGGGTACTATCCCCTATCCTGTTTACTGCACTTTAAAATTTTAAAACAATGCTCATTAACGTAAAATCTTTAAAACCAATTTCCTTTCATTAAAAAATAAACAACAGTATTAATTTTTTTTTGCCTATAATGTAATCAACATCTCATTAGTCCATTCTATTGGTAAAATAAAACACTGTTTTTATTTGGCTCATATTGGGGTACTTTGACGCTTTCATTTGACTTCATTTTCAAAGTTTAGAAAGTTTTGGTGCCGGATACACAATTAAGACAATGCATGTAAAATGGGACAAGGCTTTGATCACACTTTGCATTTTTAAAATCCCTTCTTGCCCTGGCAGATTCCCTTAGGATATGGAAGAGCAGATCAGCCCCACTGTTGCCTGAAAAGGAAAAAACAAACCACTCTTTCAAATATGTGATTATAATTGGTTTGTATTAATTCTTCATGAAAGTTTAATCGTGTCAAACATTTGACAGCTATCTCTCTTATTTGGTGACATTTATTGTACAAACAATGGAAAGGATAAAGGGAACACAGGGACCTAGAAATACAATGACAACACATTAGAAACGTTATGGCTTCATTAGTTATTTTAAAGTAAAATGTGTGTACTTTCTCAGTTCTTTGGTAAAGCTACTGATAAACCATGAGAGTAACAAGGCATATCATTGAGTGTATTGCTGTTGTCCACTTGTGGTACTTCTGGACAAGTAATCTAACCAAATCCAAGCTTTAAATATCACCATTTGGTATTTGTTTTCTACTTATCATATTCCTTACACTACCCTACCAGTCACACCAGTCAACCTTTTCCAAGAAAACCAACAACTTCTTTCTTTACAGAAGGAAAAGAGAAAATGCTTTGAGATTCTAAGGGTGACACTTGGTTGACATAAAATACTGGAGGCTAAAGATGTTTGCCATTTCAGCTGGTTCTAAGTTAGAGATATATATTAATTCTCAATATAAATGTTAAACCCTTTGCAATTTACTTATCCTTGTAAATCTTGGGTTGTATGGCTTCTAATAATACTACTTTACTAGCAGACAAACCAGGCGAATACAGGTAGTCCTTGACTTTCGATCACAATTGAGCCCAAAATTTCTGTTGCTAAGGAGACATTAAGTGCGTTTTACCCCATTTTATGATTAAGTGAATCACTGTAGTTGCTAAGTTAGCCACATGGTTGTTAAGTGAATCTGGTTTCCCCATTGACTTTGCTTGCCAGAAGGTCACAAAAGGTAATCACATGACCCTTGAACATTGCAACCTTCATAAATATGAGTCAATTGTCAAGAGTCTGAATTGTGTTCACATAACCATGGGGATGCTGCAATGGTTGTAAGTGTGAAAAAGTCGTAAGTCACTTTTTTCAGTGATATAATTTTGAACAGTCCACTAAATGAATTGTTGTAAGTCAAGGACTACCTGTATTTGCAGTAGGTGCTGATCATCATATACAAAAATGTGCTCTATACACATTCAGATTAAATGAATGAAATTAATAGTAGATTATGGTTAATTGCAGCCAAAGGCTTGAACAGATATAAAAGATACAATCTACACTACAGCATAAGTTTAGCTAAAACTTTTAGGACAATATGTATGACATTAGCATTATTTAATACATTCATTATTTTTTTAAAAAGGCATTTAAAAGCAGTATTTTTAAGACACCTAGAAGTCCATCATTAGAAACCAAGTAAATACAGTTCCACTGTTTCAGAAAGTTTTTTTATCCAGTGCGGTCTTGGTATTTCTTCTCATTTTACCTAAATTAAAAAGAAAAGAAAGATTAAAGAAGTGCAATAATACCATCTGATTCAAAGTAGTGCTCAGGTGTTGGTTAAAGCTGATAGTTGTTCATACTCTAAGTCAAGTCTCAAATGTCTCACTCCCCATTTTAGCAGCCACTGGCATCCTTTTTTTTTTTTTAGGTATGCAGAGCTACCAAAAAAGAAGGCCACTTGCTCACCTGCACAGCTCTGATAGAAGCCACAACAGCATCAGGACAGCTGTGATATCATTTCCTCTCTTTGCTTGCCTTGCCAACACCCACGCACAGCTGCACAGCAGTATCTGATATGCCTTTCATGGACTAATCAGAAGCCCTTCACTTGCTGTTATTCCTTGCAACCGTTTCCAGCCAACATTCCAGCTGACGTGGCAAAACGTTTATTCTATATAACCTGCACTTCAGATAGACGGCCATCTGCAAAATTCTCTTCAGAGAATTTTCATACCACACTTTTTCTCCAGTGTGAACACTGCTGGTAGTGGTGGTGGTGTGTGTGTGCGTGTGTGTGCGTGTGTGTGTAAGACAGTTGGGTAAGAATATAATAAGGGAGTTTTTCATATATTCAAAAAGAGAATCTCTCCATGTATGTCTCCTCCTCAGTTTTTCTGGTGTATACACTGAAGATACTTTTTATCTTCTTACCCCACTGTCTTCCCCTTTTCAAGGTTTATCTGGTAGTCATTTGTAATTCATCACTGAGGCAATTGATAAAATATTATTACTCCTATGTCCAAAAAGACATTCCATAAACAATCTTTTATCGTTCTCATTGAGAATGGTGGACTGCACTGAGTTCATTGTTTCAGTAGTTCTGTAGCAAGAAAGTACCTATATTGGGGCATGAGACTAGATTATTTGAGGAATAACCTTGCAACTTTGGTCATTACCTGAACCATCAGTCAGCCATAAGACCAAAAATGGTCCCCATCTAAAGAAATAGAATCTAGATCAGGGGTGTCCAACCTTGGCAACTTTCAGACTTGTGGACTTCAACTCCCAGAGTTCCTCAGCCAGC